TCTGTGCAGTGGAATTACACCAGGCGATAGGAAAGTCCTGAGGTCCCTGTGACCTCCCAGGTAACCTGCAGGTGCTTAGTTAAACACATGTGCTCACCCTAACATCCTCTTGCCCCACCAGCGTGGCACAAAGTCACAAAGTTCTCACTAAAGGATGTAGGGATGACTAGGCAAGGAGCTCGGGCTCCCTCCCCCCACACACACCAGCAGAGGCCAGGCCCCAGAGTTACTCCAGAGTGCTGAGTCATCCTCACGCGGCAGAGCAAGATCAGCAGCGGGCAGAGAGAGCCGAGCACGGGGGTGCTGTCCAAGGTGGCAGCCTGCAGATCAATAATGGTGAGACCACAGCATTCACTGGACTCCAGGCTGCAGGCACCGTTCATTTCCATGAATGGATAAGGGAACCAAACCCCAGGGGCACAGGAAGGTACATAGGTTTTTAGGGGATGACTCCACAAAGGGGACCTCACACATGTCTGGCCTTCTACTGGGCCGTGTGTTTCCCTGGTATTTCTAGGCCTGGGATAGGACTCTGAAGGTCCCCCCGTCTATTTATGGTTTCCCCCAAATATAACAGCCTCCAGGAGTTTGCCCTGATCCAGACCCATCGGCCTGGACAGCTGTCAGCGCCAGAGAAGCCATTCATGTTCACATTCCTGCCCCTCCTCTCCCTGACACTTGGCACAGGGGGAGAGCCTCAGTTTCCCCATCTGTAAAAGGTGGTCGCCCTAGTTGGTTTGGCTCAGTGGATAGAGTGGGGGCCTGCGGACTAAAGGGTCCTGGGCTCCATTCCGGTGAAGGGTACATCCCTGGGTTGCGGGCTCGGTCCCCAGTAGGGCGTGTGCAGGAGGCAGGCAATAAATGATTCTCTCTCATCGTTGATGTTTCTATCTCTCTCCTTCTTTCCTCTCTGAAATCAATAAAAATATTAAAGAAAACAATGGTGGTAACAGAACTCGTGTCAGGGCCATGGGGGAGGACACACAGGAAGTAGGGGTTTTGCATATGCTGGGGGTCAACACTATCATAATTCAAATTCCAGTGCCACCCCCCTGCTCTGTGACTGAGAGGGTCTGTGCTTGGCTCTCTCTGCCCCAGGCTGGGGTTTCTGGAAGGCTGGGGAGAGGAGGAAGCCAGTCTGGGCCCCAGTCCCTTGCTGGGCCCAGAGAGGAGGTGGCAAGGAATTGGGGTGCTGAGGTTTAGGGCAGAAAGGGCTGGTGTCAGGACTAGCTTTACCACTCAGGACTCCGGGCCCCTGGCACTGGTCCCTGTGCCACGGAGAAGATGGGCAGATGGAAGAGGTGTGTAAAGTGTGACAGGGGTGTGCAGGCAAGAGGTAGGGGATCAATGGGGGCCACAGAGCAAGGCTCCCAGTGGAAGAACAGGACCCAGCCCCCTCCCCAGCACAAAGCCGCTGGCTGCGTAGGCCAGCCAAGACTCCAGCGCCCCGGGGCTCCGCCTCAGCTCCCTGCAGGGGGTTATCACCAGGTAATGGGAGGGGCCTGGGCCAACCCCACCTCCCACCTTCATTAAGCCCTGGCTTCTCATCAGGGGCTCCCCTACCATCCGGGCTGCAGCTGGTCAGGAGGTTCAACCAGCCTCTTCTTCCCACCCGGACCCATTCCCTCTCTAGTGATGAGGAAGTGGAGGGGCAGGTAAAGTGGGTAGGGGTGTAGGGATGACCCATCCACGAGACCCTGCATGCTCACAGGGCGGTGCAGAGGTCGCATCTGAGTCCGTCAGAGGCTGAGTTCCCGGGAACACAGAAGCGGGAGGCTGAGGCCATCTCTCTTCAGGCAGGAGGCTCCACAGGAATTAACAGGAGAGCCACCATTTGAAAGTGAGCGATTCCGTGGCCTTTAGCACACTCATGATAGTATACAACCATCTTTTCCAGAACTTTTCCATGACCCCCAAAGGAGATCCCATCTGCATTAGCAGGCACTCCCCAGTCCCCCTGCCCCAGCCCCTAGCCACCACTCGTCTGCTTCCTGTCTGGAATCTCATTTGCCTGTTCTGGACACTTTACATTAAAATATTCTGCACCCAATTTCCAGCGCCGGGAGGGGAGGTTCCCCACACCACAATGCTCCCTCACCAGCTGGCTCTCCCATGATTCAACCCAGTTCTGACGCTTTTTGCCTGGAGACAGCGTCAGACCCCATAGGTTCAGGGCTTTCGGTCCCACATGACTGTCCCCACCCCAACCCTCTCTCCAGATGCCAACTGAACTGCAAGTCCAGGTTGTCACCTGTGCTTCTGGCCCCCTTCTTAGGTCCGATGAGTTTGCTCGAGCAGATCAGAGAACTTCAGAAACCCATTGACTCACTAGAATACTCATTTATTACAAAAGGTATTAGCAGATAAGAATCAACAGCCAGATGAAAGGATGGGCGGGACAAGGTGTGGGGAAGGGCCATGGAGCTTCCATGTCCACTCCGAGGCACCACCCTCCCAGCACCTCCTGTTCACCAACCTGGAAGCTCTTGGAACCCCATCATTCGGGGTTTTATGGAGGCTTCCTGACGTAGGCATAGTTGATTCAGACATTGGCCATTGGTGATTGATTCAACCTCCAGTACCTCTCCTCTCCCCTCCCCAGAGGTCAGGGTGGACCTGAAACTTCTAATCATGTTGCTGGCTCCACCGGCCACCAGCCCCATCCTTAGTTATGTTTATACTAGAGGCCCGATGCATGAAATTCGTGCAAGAATAGGCCTTCCTTCCTCCGGCTGCTGGCACCGGCTTCCCTCTGGCACCCGGGACCCGGGCTTCCCTCGCAGCCCTGGCTTTGTCTGGAAGGTCGGCCGGCCGGCCGGCCAGTCTAATTAGCATATTATGTTTTTATTATTATAGACTAGAGGCCCAGTGCACGAAATTCATGCATGAGGAGGGGGTCCCTCAGCTCAGCCTGCACCCTCTCCCAATCCAGGACCGTTGGCTCCTAACTGCTTGCCTCCCTGATCACCCCTAACTGCTCGCCTGCCTGCCTGATCACCCCTAACCGCCTCTGCCTCAGCCCCTGCTGCCATGGCATTGTCCGGAAGGGTGTCCAGAATGACGTCTGGAAGGTCGTTTGGCTGACCAGTCTAATTAGCATATTATGCTTTTATTATTATAGATTAACAGAGCAAAAGACACCTTTCTCACTCACTTCACAGGGAAACTACAAGGAGTTTAGGAGCTCAGTACCAGAAATGGGGTGGGAGACCAAATATATATTTCATACTGTAAGTCACAATTTTTTTGCCAGTGAAAATGGTTTCTTGTGGTGTTGTGAGAAAAGAATTTCAAAGCGCACACGCATGGGAGTAGTTTAAGTGTAGTATCAAGACTTACTGGGGTGGAGGGGAATAAGATGCAGGCAGGCTCTATAGCAACTGCTGGGAGAGTCCTGATAATCCTCCATATATTTTCTTTCTCCCTCTTTTTTGAAATCCTCACCCCAGGACATTTTCATTGATTTTTAGAGAGAGGGGAAGAGAGAGAGAGAGAAACACCCAGAATGTATGTGGATGGAAAAGGGGCCACATACGAAACCTGACAAGCTCAGGGGAGGCCTTACAAACTCGGAGACCAGAATGGACCCCACAGCCTCTGCCTGATTATTGTTAAACTTTGACTGAGATGCAAAAGTCATAAGGAAAAAGGACTAATCTTAATGCTCAGCTCCATGGCATTGTACAATGGTATGCCCATGGGACCGCCTCCTGGATGAGGTTCCAGAACATTCCCAGCCCAGGAGCACCCTGGGCTCTCTCCCAAGATGCTCAGTGCCCCTGGATACCAGCCATGCCCACCTCTGTTATAATGGGTGAAGCTGCCTGTTTCCTAAAATGATGTAATGGAACCAACGGTGCCTTCTTTTCCTTCTGGCATCTTTCACTCAACATCACCTCCATGAATGGTCTTTGTAACCTGCTGGAGGACCTGTCCTTTTCCTTGCTGTATAGTATTCCACGGTGCATATTCAGGAGTGAAACTGCTGACTCATGAGTGGGCATGTGTCACCTTCAGGACCAGTAATTACTGTCAATGTAAGAAATGTCCAAACCTGTAGAGAATTTTATTAATTTATTTGAGCCAAAGTGATGACAGTTGCCAAGAGGTAAAAATCTCAAATGATTGAGAAAATGCTCAGGAGACTGGTACTTTTGCAGTTTATTTTGTACATTACAGGCAAAGGAGGAGACGTAAGGGGGGTTTCATGAAATCCAATGGTGGTGGATTAGGGAGGTGGGAGTGAATCTCATTTCCTGAGACTTGAGGACATGGAGAAACAAGTACTTCTTTCACATTGGTGGGTGCAGGACAGTTAACAATGATCATTTACAGCCCATAGAGATAGTATGCGGGGGACAAGACAACAATGCAGGGCTCTGTGGTCTCCCGCCCTGGTGAGAGGCTGTACTCTGAGGGGATTTCTCTGACGTTCCAAAGGTATGTTATCAGCGATGCAAAAAGACAATGTTCAGGCTCAGTTACGGTGAAGATTGACCTTTGTCAAGGAAGGTACTGGCCTGGGACATGACCCCCTGCCGTGACTCACATTTAGTTAAGAAGCTGTGATTTCAGACCATCCTATGTGGTTTGTTCTGGTCTCTGAGTTTTTAAGGCCTCCCTGAGCTGGTCAGCTTTCTATGTGGCCCCTTTTCCATCCACATTAGATCATTTCATTCCTGGAACTTCTCAAGGGGACACAGCACCAGTGAGGGCCTGGGAAATCCCTGGGGACAGGAAAGGGGGATGTTGGCTCCACTTCACCAAATTCTGCTTTGCTGGCAGCCAGGCCCCTCTGTCTCCCCTTCGAAACATCTTTGGCTGATGACTTCATAGCCAGCCCTGTGGCCAAGCTGGGAGGAGTGTGTGTGTGTGTGTGTGTGTGT